CAGTACTACCAAGGGCGACAAAGTGGAACTGTCTCAAAAAAAAACCAAAAAATTGTAAGTACTCCAAAATCTGAAACTTTGTGTGCCAGATAATGCTCAAAGGAAAAGCTCATTGGAGTAGTTTGGATTTTAGATTTTTGCATTAGGAATGCTGAACCAATATAATGCAGATATTTCAAAATCTGAAACCTGTCTAGTCTCAAGCAATTCAGATAAGTGATACTCAACCCATAGTGTTTTCTTTTTCTTTTACTGGACCTTCTCATGAGAGAAAGGAGCTAATTATATTTCTGAGCCCTGCTGACTTCTTACAGTCCTTTGGACTCACTAGAAGAATACTTCTGGGCTGGTTGGTAGGTTCATTAGTCCCAGAATTACTAAAAATAATTGTTTGGTGCAGTGATAATATGTATTGATAGTAGTAACTTATAAGCATAGCACACGGATTTTTCATCTGCTTTTAATTTAATTCATGTCAGTTTGCCATTAGTGTAGTTAACCCTTGAAGTTCTTACCTTTAAGGACACTGCCATGGCACTAGTGCCACTTCTTCTCCTTCTTAGTGACAAATACTTGAAGAATTATTTAAGATAATTACTTAATCATTGAAGAAAACAGTGGCTATCTAGTGACTACCTCTTGTAAGAGAACAAAGTTTGGAAACCAAAGGGAATTTAAAGTGAAATGGGTCTCCCTTTTGTCTTACTTCCTACTGAGCTTATGTGTCACATTACTCAGATATTTTAAGGAATAAGTCCACCAATATAGCTAAATCCACTTGTGTTACACTGAAGTCTTTGAGGAATCACCCATCTGCATGGCTATTAGTTGGCCCTTTTCATTGCTGATCTTATTGCAAGGATAGTTGGGATTGGTTTTACTCTGAGGACAGCTGCACTGTTCCTTGTGTAACCTCCTTTTCTTTAATGTGTGAATCAGAGCCCAGTGTATTATGTGGTACATGTGTGTGCATTTTTTAATTTAACTTGCTACGTGAGTCACATGAGTTCTTACAACTGAGTTGTCTTATTCTTTAGTAATTTGCTAGATAGCTCTGTTACTGAGCACGAATAAGTGGAATGTTTTGGTTGACTGGAGGTTTCTATACTAGTAGTTTGGCCTGTATGTTTTAAGGATTTTATAATTCAGATTTAAAGCATTCACATCTAACAGATTAGCAGTTGAATGAATGTTTAAACCATTTTAAGTGCTCATTCTAACTCTCTCCCATCTACTTCCTCGAAAAAGAGTGATATACTTAGGTTAAAAACCTGGTTCATTTCTGGCAAATTAAATGGATTTTACCATACATCTTTCTTGATCTTCCATTGTTGTTTTGAGTCTAGTAAGATTATGATAAGACTAAATTTTTACTTAAAAAACTAGACATTTCAGAATCCAAAGCCACTTGTTTTAATTTATTATTAAGGACCAAGTGATGAAAAGTAACATTTTTAATTGTTACATCTTTCTGGAAAAATTAGGTTAATCTCTACTATTGAGAGATTATAATTAAGTATATCAAAACATTGAATTATTTAAAATTGGTTTTAATAGTGTTATATTCCATGTTGTGAACTATTTTCTAAACTGTATTGAAACTTAAATTTTTTATTTGTCTTTTTTTTTGAGACAGAGCCTCAAGCTGTCCCCCTGAGTACAGTGCTCTGGTATCACAGCTCACAGCAACCTCCAACTCCTAGGCTTAAGCGAGTCTCTTGC